TATATATACTCAGATAAAAGAGCTATATCTGAGTATGGTGTGTTAACTGGTTTTCTCCCTCATATATCTGGTATGCATGTGGTTGCCTAACTAAGTGCCTATTAGAGTTCACAGAGGAAGTTTTGTAACTGGATGTCTATTTCAACAAAGTTACCTCTTTTTTTATTTACAGCTCTTAGATTCTAGGAAGCACAGTCCCAGAAAGTAACTTTTCCAAATTTTGCATCTAATTTCAAAAATGCAATCAGTACATGTGTATGTGTGTGCGCGCACACAAACACACACATCTATCTATCTATCTATCTATCTATCTATCTATCTATCTATCTATCTATCTATCTATCTATCTATCTATCTAATCTAGCTAGCTAGCTAGCTAGCTAGCTATGCTTTATAACAGTAATAGCACGCAAAGATATCTTATTACTGGGAAAGTCTTGCCCTCCATGCTATCACCACTTATATATATAATCTATCTATCTATCTATCTATCTATCTATCTATCTATCTATCTATCTAATCTCGCTAGCTATGCTTTATAACAGTAATAGCATGCAAACATATCTTATTACTGGGAAGTCTTGCCCTCCATGCTATCACCACTCTCCCTATATATATATATGTGGAACTGTGGTTCTCTCTCTCTCTCTCTCTCTGTGTGTCTCTGTCTCTCTCTGTGTGTGTAAACATGATTAAGAGGATTTGTGTGCGCACGCATGTTACTGGGTTAAAACTACTAAGATTTCTGCTAATGCTGTTACTGAAGTTAAGAGATCCCTTACATGCAACCTATACATGTGTCTGGGGAGGATACTAATTAACCTTTTCACATGATTGCTGTCCCTTGTTATTAATTATTGCTATAGAGTTGAATGATTTTTGAACCTATGGTTATCTGTAAGCTGTAATGTATGTTGAAATTCTTTTTGGAGGGCTTTATTCTAAACGGTACTCTACAAATGTACAAAATTAATTTATAAAGGTAGATTTTAGAGACGGGGTATTTGTATTCATATACAAATACAAATATTCCTGCAAAGCTCGACTTAACAAGGATCCGCCCCCTGGGGCCAGACTTTCCACTCAAGTGTCTGGCAGCAGCAGCAGCCCCTCTCTTCCTTCCAATCACTCCTAAATCACCGCTCGGCTAGCGACTCAGCAGCCTTGCAGAGAGACTTGTCCTCCCTCCCATTGCCAGGATGGCTAGACGAGTGGGGCTCTGGAAGTGATTGGAAGGAAGAGCGAGGTGGCGGCTGCCACCGGATGTTTAAGTCTAGCTGCACTGAGATATTCATATACAAATACAAATATCTGTACACAAATATGAATACTTCCATCTCTAGTAGATTTGATTCCCTTTCACAGTCTTCTACTAATTTGAATCTCTAGGTGAATACCAGGTATCAGCTTCTAAGGCACCATGGAATCGCATCATTATGCAGACTTGTGTCTGATAAACAGATGTGTAGAAAATCGATTTTTCTAGTAATTTTTTTGGCAGCTGGACTCTCAGTTGTATGGAAATGTTGTAATTCTATGCCATCAAGTCACTTCTGACTTATGGTGACTCATATAGTGTTTTGAAAGGACATGAGATGTTCAAGGAGAGGTTTACCACTTCAGTGAATTTCCCTGGCTGAGGTCTCATAGTTGAATGCCTCTGTCCACTATTGTCCACTAGCTCCCTATATGGATATAACCCAAATTACAATCCTCTGATTTATTTATTTATTTATTCCATTTATTGCATTTTCCTCTGAGAGGAAGAGGGTGGTATGTAAGTTGAAAGAACATCAACATTAGATTGACTTGCAGTGCTGTTGTGACTATTGCTTGTGATGACACAAAAATTATTTTTTTAGTTCCACCTACATATTTATCCTAGTTCCATCTATTTGAGACTTACTTTACTGAATTATCAACTCTGATATCACTTGGGCTTTGCATTTCTGTGTTTCCATATAATGCAAAGAAATCCAAAGCTTGGGAAATTTATATAAAATACAGTAATTTATTATATTTTAAGGCCTCCAAAATAACTCTTCCTTCTTATAGTTGCTATTTTTGATGACTATATTTCTGTTCATCAGTATTTCATAATTTTTAAAAATTAGGTGTTTCTTCATTCAAGAGCATGAAGCATAGCCTCAACAACAGCATGGTTTGCCTCAGCAAATTGTATACTAACCATAGGCTACAGTTGCTTAAAGTCTGAGTCAAGTAGCATGTGATGCTAACTAGTTTAATTTTAATATGGTGGCTTGGTTTAACAGCGAAAACAATGACAGGAAAGGGTGGGTGGAAGATGGCAACCCTTCTGCTTCCCTGACAACTCCTTCCCCAAGCCCCATAAAAACCTTGAAAGGAGAAGCCCAGAAAATTCCCTTTCCCCCAATTCTGTATATGCTGACCATGGTGGTGGAGCTGATGCAGAGTACTGACAGGCCCAGAACATAGGAAGCTGGTTACACTGGAACAGATCATTGATCCAGCTAGCCCAATGAACATAGGAAGCTGGTTACACTGGAACAGGTCACTGATCCAGCTAGCCCAACAGTTCTTAACTTTTCTTTACCGCAGACCCCCTTGAAGTATATTTTGTTGCTGCAGACCACCAAGACTTAACTCACGATTTAAAACCCTAAAGTGCATAAAATATTTGTTTAAAGTTCCTCATGAAGGGTCTTCAATTATGGAGAGAAGGGAGAAATAAGTTTGGTTTCCTCTGCTCCTGTGAGCCCCTCTAATAACCATGCAGTAGCAAGAAATGTCAGGTGCTGTCTCTCAGCATCATTCACTTGTATGTTCTCAGAATGTGCAGAAATATCAACCAATTATTTGCTATTAAACAGTTATTTTTCTCTCTTTTTTTAACTTTTGTTTGTTTTTAATGGAGGCAGTAGTTTAGAAAAGCCAAATTTTATACAAACAAGCAAGGGAAATTAACATGTTCTATGTTTTCTTTCTTTCTTTCTTTCTTTCTTTCTTTCTTTCTTTCTTTCTTTCTTTCTTTCTTTCTTTCTTTCTTTCTTTCTTTCTTTCTTTCTTTCTTTCTTTCTGTTTTAACTGCAAAATATCATGACATTTCTTCAAGCCTTCATAGACCCCTGTTGAGGTCTTGGCTGTGGACCACAGGTTAAGAACCAGTGATCTAGCCCATTATTAATTCTGAACAAAAGCAGGGTTCCAATCATGGCTTTCCCTCCCTGGAGATTCTCCATCTTCCTTGGTTGTCTCCCATCCAAGCACTAATCAGGCCTGATCCTGTGCAGCTTCCAACATCAGAAAAGACCAGGTTATGTTCATGGTGGAATCATGGCAAAGATACCCTGGTTTGGTTTTCAGCAAAGGTAAATGTCTATTAAAAGAGATTTTGTTCAAGTTATTGGATTCAAAAAGGTCAAGGACATGGACCTTCCACTCATCTTCCACCAACCTTCCTCTGCATTCAAAGAACTTTTCTCTTCATTCAAACTAGTGTACAGTTTTCAAGTTATATTTTTCTTCTATAGTCTGATTTTAGCATAGACTGAAACATACATATGCTGCCTTGACAAAACTCAAAAATCAGGAAGAATAAGCTATATGTATGTATGTAGTGTTGTATTAAATATGAGTATCTAAACAGAATTCAGAATATCAAAACAACATTTTTCCTGTTTTATTGAACAATAATAATAGCAATTATTATGTGGTGCTGGAGGAGGCTCTTGAGAGTCCCCTGGACTGCAAGGAGAACAAACCTATCAATTCTAAAGGAAATCAAACCTGAGTGCTCACTGGAAGGACAGATCCTGAAGCTGAGGCTCCAGTACTTTGGCCATCTCATGAGAAGAGAAGACTCCCTGGAAAAGACTCTGATGTTGGGAAAGTGTGAGGGCAGGAGGAGAAGGGGACAACAGAGAATGAGATGGTTGGATGGTGTCATCGAAGCAACCAACATGAATTTGACCCAACTCCAGGAGGCAGTGCAAGATAGAAGGGCATGGCGTGCTCTGGTCCATGGAGTCACGAAGAGTCCGACACAACTAAACAACTAAATGACGATGACGAATAATAGCAATAAACTCTTATAACAACAGTTTATTATATGCACATTCAAGGAGCTATCATGGTCACGAATATTTGGCAAAGAACAACAGAAGAGTTCAATTGATGTAAAAATTCACAGCACTATTTAAATAAAGTCTCTCATCCTGCCTGTCAAACTATATGAGCCACTTGCTCCTTTTTACCTAATTTGAAATTTCCTGGAAGAGCATCAAATCTGACATGTTTTTAAATGATCCAATTGCTTTATTTGCACTTCTGTAACATTGATTATATTGGCACTCAAGCTGTGCAGTCTACAAATACACAATTCAGCCTTACAGATTCGAGCCAGTCTAAATTTTGGTCTGCTGTTAGAGCAAAAAACATTGGTTCTGCCCGAATAGGTTCACCATGAGAAACATCTTTAATTTAACATTCACACTTCAGTTACCTGCCAAGTTGTAAATGGGAGACCATTAGGGCAAGCAAATGAAAAACAGGACAGGGTTCTTATACCTTTAATAGTTGCTAAGAAGAGAAAATTTCAAGAGGTGCAAGGATTAACATGAGCCGCACTTGTTGAAATTTCCTCCAACCTTTAAAGGTATTGCTGGCCACACTGGACACAATGTAGCCTAAAATGAAACATTTTAATGTATGTAAAATCTCATTACTTTCAGCAGTCGAGAATAGAGATTGGAGTATTTGTATACGAATATCCCCCCACAGGTGCAGATAACGAGGGTCCAGCTCCCTGGGGCCAGATCAACTACTCACGATTTTGGTGCTGCCACCAGCTCCACGGAGCCTTCCTATCTCTCCGTTGCTATTGATGGATTAGCCACTCTGCGACCTGGCAGAGAGGTTCGTCATCCCGCCTTCTGCCAGGACTGGCTAATCCATCGGCAGCAACGGAGTGATAGGAAGGCTCCACAGAGCCAACAGCAGCGGCAGAATCATGAGTGGTTGGTCTGGCACCTGTGGGGGGGGGGAATATTCGTACACAAATACCCCCATCTCTAGTCAAGAATAAGCTTCCCAGCTAGAAATCCCTGAATGCAAACAGGTTATGCAGAAATCAGAAGACAGACAAACCCCCATGTTTCTGAATCTGAAGGACGGGATTAGGCACATTATAATTTTTACCTTTTCATGTGTAAGAATGATTTAACCTCAGAGAAGCCCCTCTTTGGTTTCCGCACAAACCATTACTCTGGGCATGTCTCTTGAAACTATCCCAAGGTATGGGGACTTGTTCAGTACTGAACTACCTGCCACCCTCTGACAACAACATCTCTGCATCAGGAAGTGAGGAATGACTCAATCACATCTTGATGTAAAGTCAACTTAAAGTTATTTATTCCCAATTTAAAGGAGGCAGAGAAGCCATTAAATCACAGAGATTTAATCACACAGGACAGCATCCTCTCTGCAGTAGTACTTTGGGCTGATAGTCATTTTGACTTTTTACTACACATTTTACTTTTCACTACACATTTTCCTTTTCACATTTCTCTGAACACATAAGGCAGAATGATTAGAGTATTTTACTTTAAAGCGAAAGGAAAGTGTGTGATATGTCCCATGGATACTTCATTTAGCAAGAGAACCACATGTTGCCCAAGAGTTTTAAAAAAGTAATTGCTAGAACTATTATTTGTTATAATATTTGTATGTACTCAACAAAATGACTCCATTATAATCTATTTTAAGCAAGGGTCAAAAGAAAAAGCGCTGCAACTCTGCCTGACAATTCATTGATACATATAAAATATGTACTTTATTTTCTCTTTTTAAAGCTTAAAAAATTTGAGACTGAAATCCAACACGTGGACCATTTAAATCACACTGCAGCTGATAGGATTTATGCAGCACAGCTATATATAGGACTGCAGTTTTATATCACAAACCACCACAGAATTAAGTGCACTTAAGCAGATTTTTATGTTTGCACTTGCAATAAGGTAGGAATCCTATGCCATTAAATACGGCTAAATGTAGTAACTACAAGTAAGAAGGCATAGTGGTTTTGAGTTGTGGCGGTGCAACCTGATCCTATACAATGTTACATAAAAATGAATCCTGCTGAGTTCAGACGGCCAAGTAAATACACATAGCATTGTAGTCTTCTCATCTTCAAAATTAAGACTGATTTTAGTTCTTTCTGTTACACCCATCAGTTCTGTATTTCTCTATAAATAATATAAAACATAAAAAAGATTTGTCAAGGTTATAAACTGCATTTCCTAGCTTTATAACCATATTTCCCCCATTTTTAGATGGAGGTTGATTAGTGTGGGACTTTCAGAATTCAGAGGGTTAATTGTTTATTTTAAATTCATGTATTTTTTAAAAGTTTCAATAATATTTACATTCAATAGTTTATGATGCATTTAGTATTAAAATGATTATTAATACATGTTCTAAAAATCATGTACATTGTACATAGTCTCATACTTGAAAGTTCACTCTTTGTCTGAAGATACACAGATTGGACTTTTTACACATTACCATCTCCTCTGCTGGAGTGCTACTGTCTTTAAAGTGAGTTGTGAACATTCATCGTAACTCTGAAGTGTTGCTTTGAAAGTCCTACCCATAGTGGTTAATATCAGCGAGGATTTAGCCATTTCATTATTGGAGAATGAATGTTTTTTTCTTTCACAAAATCCTCTTTTACAGAATTACCATCACCTGATCCCATGTCATTCTCTGAAAAATAAAAGAAGATAACGTTAAATATTTAAATGATTCTTACAATTTCTAGGTGTCTTACAGATCAGTCAGTATCATGGCCATAATCCATGAAGTCTGTGATCATTCAGTTCTCTTCTAGCCTTCCACTGTGATTTATATAATAACACAGAGTGTCCCCTTTCAGCTTATCTTTGGGCCCAAAGGTAGCACCTCATTAGAATGAGAGTTCTCTGAAGTGTTAAAAGACGTTTGATTATTATAACGTAAATTTGCCTCAGTATGTATTTTGCAGATTAGCTTGCAAAATATGTATCAGGAAAGAACACCAGCCAGAGGCTGGGAGTTCAGTATTTCACTGTGTATCCAGAAGAGACCCAGCCTGTGTGGCCTTGGGCAAGCTGTACAGTTTCAGGGCAGCCCCAGAAAAAGGGAATGGTAAACAATTTCTGAGTACTCTCTGCCTAGAAAACCCTCTTATGAGAGATTGGATTTGTGATTCATAAACAGCAACCCACGTTCTCACAGCCCTGTTTCTCTGAACAGCAGCTTGTCATTGGGCACTGGGAGTTGACGTTCAAAAGATTTTTTTAAAAATCTTGGCCTGTTCAAATGGGCACTCCTAAGTGAGTTCTTTGGATCTTGGCCAGTATATAAACCTTGGCACTGCCATGCAGGACTGAAAGCAATGCCACTCAAAAGAAAAATAATCTCTAAAATGTTAATAGCTGCAATAAATTTGGATATTTGTTACATTCAGAATTGTTCAGTAGTATATTGTACGTTGGAAGAATGCTGTTCTGTCTGCACATATCTGAGCTCTTTAGAGGCTTGAGAATATGAGAGGTTTCTGTAAACTGAAGCACCTTGCTCATGTGTCATTTTGCTGCTTTATTATCCCCATGTGTCTCAAAATGTTCCTCATTTTTAACTTAATGCAGAAGATCTGAATGAAAGTAAGGCCTTGTTTATGGACGCTTTCCTAGAATTCCCAAGTTTTGACTAAAATCCTGCAATAACTGGAAGCAGTTTTTTCTGGCATCATGTCCTCAATGCAGAGGAAATGTTGATATCATTAATGTTACTGCCTTTTGAATGTTGGCCCTCCCAAGATTTGCAGTAGCATCATTTGCTTTAATGATACTACTTTATATCATGCTCATCCATTTGAAGAAGGGATATCGCGTGTGTTTCTATTATCCGTTCAGTTCCTTGCAGATTGTCCTGTTTTCTCATGTTAAACCTTGGGGCTAAGAAAGAATTATCTCTGTTAAATGTTTTATTGTCATTCCACCCACCCCTGAGCTTTCAGGACTCTACACAAGAGTCTCCAGAACTGAAGCTCTAGTCTGTACAATCACAACATGCTGTTTTTATTCTGTGTGATCACAAAATGCTGTCGACATTAATTCTGTTTTCTGGGGTGGGGCCTTCTAAGTCTAAGCCTAGAAAACCCTGAAAAGGCTTGGCATAAGTCAGAATTGTCTCAATGGCATACAATTACCATATGCCTTCGAATATTGTTTTTAATTCAAAAAAAAATTCCTTAGAAGATATGAGATGCCTTTTTCAATGAAAGAAAAAAATATGTATTTTATTTTATTTATTTTGGGGGTGGGTGGGATGTGGGAATTGATCCAGTTTTCCAAAGCCCAAGGGTGAACATACACAGCTCCCAGAGCTCTGGAGTTTACCTACCCCTATTTTAAATGGTCAAATCTAAAATTTTTATTAGCCACTTTACGTCCTCAGAGGAAAAGCGAGGCACACATGTTTTGGAATAATATAAAATAAACACCAAGGTCATACATATGCATTCAGTCTATCTGGAAACAACCTGGAGTTTGTTCCATTTAACAGATGAATTGACTGATTAGCAAAATAGTTGTGTGGCATGCTGGGAATGTTCGTTTCCAGAGTGGTAGCAGTGTTAATTTTTCTGGACAAAAAAATAACAGCACAACCGTCTTGTAGCACTTTAAAGCCTCAGAGGTTTAGTTTGTCATGTTCTTATCTAAATTACTTGTATACTACGATCCTGCTTCACGTATGATAAAGAGAACTCTACTTCACTAAAGCTCAGGCAACAATAAATCTGCTAATGTTAATCAGGGTGTAAACGTTGTCATTAGTGACGACGGCATTAACAGTGTCCAGATGCTATGTCTGCCTTTTCAGGGAAGACTCAGTGACATAAACAGCCATATGGATAATTCTTTACTTTCAAGGACTCTAACTGCTATTTCCTAGAAAGGAACTACAAAACACATTGCTACCAATTTCCAGCACCCCTTTCAGTATACAGTATGTATCTCATTCAAAGCTTTGATTTGCCAAGTCAATGGCTGAAATCTTGTTGCAGAACTCTTCATGTGCAACGGTGGTGATTTCATTAGCACTGGCAAATTGCCACTGATTTAAAACTTCCTTTGTCAATTTTGCATTATATAGAAGCTACATGTACCCTGAAATTGCTTTTTATCACTAGCTATTTGCTACTGCTACTGATGCCATAATTATTATGCATGCAGAGCTGCACAACAGGATTTCAACCACTGAATGTGCACCCATAAAAAATGCCCCTTCAAGACAGATCCCACCTAAATATTGCAGATGACTAGTCTTTAGAAGAGGACATTCTGTAAGTGCTGATTGTGTATAATTATCAAAACAGGGGCTTCATGTATCTTCCAAAATTTGCCAATCACCTGGCCTTTTTTATTGCGATTGCCTTTCAGGTTTATTCTTCCTTTACAAATCTGTTTTGTCAGACACAAAAGCCTGCCTCTGTGATGTCCCTCAAGAACAACATGATTTCCACTCTTGCAATAGGCTATATTTGAGCTGCGGTTCAGTCCTCAAATATATGGCATAATTCATTCTCCCAGTTAATTAAGATAGGATTTTTTCTACCATTAGGCAGAGCAGTGAGGTGGTGTCCCTAAGTAACAGTTGCTAGGGAGTGATCATAGCCATTCCTGTTGAAACTATCGGCCATCCCTCTCTGTTGGAAGCTGAGACAATGTGCGACATATTCCTGAAGATTTTTTTTTACTACAAATCCCATAATTCTTCTTTCTGGGAGTCCCACCTGTAGGATCCAGGCTTTACAGACATCTAAATTGTGCTCATCTGGGGAGAAAGCCCAGGTGGCAGGCTTCTTGCCTTGGGCAGGCCTAATTTCTTGTCTGAAAAAGGAACTGCCCCAATGGTTGCTAGGAAGCTTTTTTAAACAGAAAGTTAATACTATCCAAGGCATAAAGCCTGCCAACTGAGTATTCTCTCCATCTGAAAACAATTTAGGTGTCTGTAATGTACATGTCTCCTAGAGAGAAGAATTATGGGATATCTAGTCCAAAATATCGGAAATGCACATCTCTACATATTCCCTGACCTGGGCTCCCTAAACTAGCCTTCAGTTTCAGGTGTTCTGAAAGGTGTTGTCCATCGTCAATGTAGTAATGAAATTTAGGTGTGCGTCCAGTTTGCTTCTATGGCAGAAATCCTGTTGCTTCACGTAATAATTTGCAGTTGTGGTAGGCCCACTGAAATCAGTAGAGATTTGGTGAGTCAACCCCTCCTTAATTTCCATTGATTCAATGGAGGTCCTTTAGTTGCAACCTATTATGCTAAGCAACAAGATTTCCTGGTGCCACATATAAACTGAAATCCACAGTAGGTTGGAATTAGGTGCTGTGAGGATAATTTATAAGAAAAGAAATGAGACAACAGTAGTTATAATAAATGTAGTTCCCAGTTCTGGAAGTCTGTAAGCATGATCCTGTCTTTGATTCAATTGGCAAAACATCTTCGGCTTCTCCGGGCCATAATGCTCATGAACAGCTCATATTCATTCAATGTAAGCTGCACAGGGCAAGGTCCCAACCTGTTGTTCCCTGAAGAAATTAACACTTCTAACATTTACCTGTATGTGGAATTAAATTCAGTCGGTTGGGAGGTTTTGATACTGCCAGCTGGAAAAACGAGAACTTTAAACACTTCCCCGTCACTCTGTCACATATGCCAGATGGGCAGTTGCATGTTCTCCGGCATTCCAAGCCATAGGTACCATAAGGACATTCTATAAGAAAAGAAATGAGACAGCAGTAGTTATGATTAATGCAGTTCCCAGTTCCGGAAGCTGTGATCATTGTTTTCCCTGAATCTGCCAGAATATTAGGCTGCCATCATACCTGCATGCACTGGGAAGTACATTCCATTAAACATACTAGGGCTTACACCTGAGTAAATGTGAACAAAGGAGCACTGTAAATGTTTTTAAAAGTGATTTACATGGCAATGTGCCCATACTGACTCAGAAGTAAGCCCTATTGAGTTCACTGGCACTTGATCCCAAGTAGGTAGACAGAGACTGAAAGACTTTTCCCAGGACATTTTTGAGGGTAGTTTGGTCTTTAATGAATACTCATTGGCCATTAGCTTTACAAAAGACTTGTTTTTCATTGGATGATATGACGCAGGGATTGAATATAAGATAGGCTGACTTAGTAAAGGAAGTTGCAGCCTCAAGTTTGTGATACCTCTTTTTATTTACCTTTCAGGAGAGGTTAAATTTTTTAAAAAGCAAGTTTGACACAGCTGCTAAGATATTTAAGCAATAGGTGGCATTTATAGTAAACTAACTTATCATCCAAATTTATGTATGTATGTATGTATGTATGTATGTATGTATGTATGTATGTATGTATGTATGTATGTATGTAT